TGAACAGGTCGCTAATGCTTCACGCACGCCCGACGGTTCCTACCGCGGCCTGCATGTAGCCTTTACGAATGTTTGTAGTCTAATGAACAAACGTGATGACGTTTGCCACTTCGTTGCCTCTCGGCAACCAGACGTATTGGGCCTAGCTGAAACTTGGTTAAATTCAGAGATAACCGCCTAACGAATCGAAATCAGTGGGTATTATTGCTTCCGCCCTGATAGACTATCAAATGACGGCGGTGGTGTAATGTTATACATACGGTCTTTCTTGCGCGGGAGACTCGTGAGCATCTACACTAGCGATGATGGCCTGTGTGAGTAGCTATGATGTTCGATCCACCCGGTCAAATCGGTATTCATGAGCCTGGACAAGGGTGGTAATGGCCGAGTTTACAATCTGGCCGGCCAAAAGTTACACCCATCGTCATCCATGAAAGATCTCGACGTATCCTCACGCTGCGATTTGAAATCCGTCGAAAACACAAACAGGCTTTACCAAAACGGACTGCGCATGCTCTGGGCGCTCAAACGCAGCTTTTGCACTTGCTCCGAGGAGGTTGCCACCCGCCTCTTCTCTATCATCAGACCAATGCTAGAGTACAGCTCACCCGTTTACTGTCCGCTCACCCGGGGCGAGGTGCGAAGGATTGAGTGGGTACAGCATGTGGACACGAGACTCATCCCCGGTTTACAAGGTGTGCCATATGAAAACCGGTGAAAGGGACTAGGGTTGTACACCCTGTCTTGTGGTCGAAAGCAACCTGACCTCCTCATGACGCACCGGGGATTAGATCTGGGTGATTACCCCATGTTGAGGTCGCTGCTTTATCTGCGCACACCAAGCAACACACGAGGATACCGGTACAAGCTTGTCGTATCGGATTTGCAGCGGGTCGCTCCACAACTTCTTCGAGCGGAGGGTTGTGAATATTTGGAACAACCTGCCTGCAGACATAGTCGAAGCAAAGTCGGTGCCGAGGTTAAGAAGCTCCTGGACTCGCACTTTGCCGACTTGAGATTTCGAGAATAATCACCATCATAATAGGTAGATTTGCTTGAAAAATATTAGATGTAGCTACACAGAGGCAACTCTACTCGCTGCATTTTCGTAGTATTCTGCGCAAACATCTGGACCGCCCCGCGACTTGTGGCGCGAGGCGGCTTAATACTTTGCTGCTACTGCTGCTGCTACTAGTTCCGTTTCGAGCCCGCTTTGCCGACATGACGATTCCGAGAGTTGAACTACAAAGGTCGATCGCGGTGCATCAGCTAAGTAGCTGTTTCCTGGCTTTCTGTGAGGATCTTGGTGCGGTGCTGCCCGTCTGAACCCCATCTCTTGCTAATAAGAATGTACTCAAACTGCTCAAAACATCGCAGATTAATCAGCTGCTCAAGTTTTGGAAACTGTTGCTCCGTAAATGGGGCACATCTTCTCTCCTTTGGACAATGCGCATTAGCAGTCTAGATTCACCGTGATGAAGGTGTTTGATGTTTTGCGCACACGAGGAGTTTAGAGCACTCACCAGGTCGGTTAACCGTGGGACGATGCAACCTTTTAACGTTTGTTCGGATATTTGGTGATTGTCTACGGTCACTTTTGCCTAAACTCCCAAATTTTCTTACTATCAAATTTGCTATTTGCAAGCGGAGCTGCTTTACCTGTCGTCCAGGTGAATGGCTGTGTGTGATCCCCCTTACGTTAATGGCCTCTTTTAATTCAACTGTCTCAACTTTACGCACTGGTACTTTTGTTAAATGCGCTTTTATTTCGAGCATGTGATTTTCTTCATTACGTGACCGAATTAGGCCTGTTTTTAAGACCCTGTTCCACTGCAAATGCAGTCAGGTGCGATTCTAACCAGTCTTGTGACCAAAGTTTCAAACCTTGCACTTTTCGTTCGTGCTTAAGTACTCTTATCATACCCTTCTGATGGTCACAGTCCGCCCTCCTTGTGCTCATACACCTATATCCCTTCTTGTGTAGCGCAGTTTCACCTGCTACATTGCATCTGTACAATAGCACTGGGCGCCTGTGGTCTCGCTCTTGCGAGTCGACTTGTAACCCACTCCGTTCACCTATTCTCGGTCTCGCTTTGTATACAATGATCGGGACTACAGCTCATAAACTCACTTCGAAGCTACAACTGGACCATATTCTTTTGCGTAGGGTATCAGCAGTACGCTGGTACGCAATAGCGACGCTTCACTTCCGCGTTGGTTTAAGGATATAACGAGAGTCGTCCTTCCTCTATGCAGGATCGAACCCGCATTCTTGGATTACAAGTCAGGCTTGTGATCCTTTGGACGCCGAACTGGCATTCGTGTGTGTCGTCCTTACATATGGGGTGCGTTCGCACCTTATGCCCATGAATCGAAATGACCACATTTCCTCGAGAGAGCGAGCCATCGCACCTCAGTGTTCTTATCACATCTGAGTAGTTCGACCAACTGCGGATAAACAGCGAGGGACTATTTTTTAACCTCAATATCCTCATGACTGCCACTCTTGCAGGATATCTGAAGAGGACTTGGACTTCGCGTCTCGTACCAATTGCCTCCTGCTGGCTCCTCTTCGGCGTAGCTACACTGCATACTAACATTTTGCTTTCCGCAGATTTGTCGTGCCTACCCCTTGATCCTTGCTAATGAAGAACGAAGTATTTGACCACTTCGCTTACCTTGGCAGCTGTATCAGCAACGACGGGCACATAACCACCGAAGTCAGTTCACGTGTTGCAAAAGCTAGAACTGCCTCCTTGAATCTGCGACGTCTTTGGCGGCAGAAAGGAGTTTCCCTCCACTTGACAGACCGTGTTTACAAGGCCACAATGTGGGCCATCCTACTCTATGGGAGTGAAACTTCGCCCCTTCAGTCTGACGATCTGAGGCGGCTTCAGGTTTTGATCTTAGCTGCCTGAGAAGCATTGCTGATGTCAGATGGTACCAGAGTGTCCGCAACGATGATGTGCGTAGGTGATTGCTACGTAGGGATAATCAGGCTAGATCACTGGAACAGCAGATAGGGTTGATTATGTTGCGTTGGTTTGAACACGCACTACACGCATCCGGCCACCGATTACCAGTGAAGGCGTTGTTTTGTTTGCCAAATGTAAGGTGGCGCGAAGTTCGTGGTGGACTAATGTTGGCTTGGCAGCGGGAGATGAAATCACTGACTACAAACCCGGTGCTATTGGCCAGCCTCCTTTTCCGGGCTAGAGTTCACGTGATACGCCTCGTGCTTGATTCGATGTATTACAGCATATTGCTCGCAATGGGCACCATTGGCGTGTCTGGTGTCGTCTCCTAGTCGGACTGTCTGTTAAAAGTGTGTTTGGTGCTGATTCATCTGCGGCGTGATGATTGATTATGACGCGAGGCAGTGAGAGCCGCGAGAAAGACGTTTCGGCACGGTGTTTCGCTGATGGTGACGGTATGTTATTGACAAGGTGGAGACGTCTTGACCCTGAATGTTTGCTTAAGGCATTAAGGTTTTATGCTACGTCTCCTTCTCCTTTCTTTTTTTCATTCCCTCAGTTATACGGTAGCGTAGCATCCCTTCAAATAGCCGATATACTGCTGTTTTTATTAGTTGGTCGAAAGACTAGCTATGCAAGGAACACGATTATTGCCAATGTCAACTTACTCTACCACCAGTGAACGTGCTCCGGTTCGCAATCTACTGAGAAAGAATGTCAGCATTACTATCAACTCAACTGCAGTGCGGATCACCCGTGTCATCCATACTTATCCAACTGCTTGATCACTTGAGCGGTCACGTACTATTTGTCCCTAAGATATAGCATCTAAACAGATACCACTGCTGCAAGGTTGAACTTCTTATAGTATGATCTGTAAATCTGCAAGTATGTGTTTTGTGTCTCACTTCAATCTGAGACCACCTTGGTTTTAGTGAAGATTCGTCGCTGCTAGAATCACACAGAGCCTGAGTCTAGTTGCGACGAATCTTCACCGAAACCCACTAAATCTCCCTACTACTCACTAATCACCGTGCTTTTTCTTTCCGCTTACATTTTGTCATTGGATGCGGAAAAGAACTACATACTTAATGCACTGTAAGAAAACTTTTAACCGGCCGCGTTCATCCGAAAGCATACAGCGATTCGTGATCGTCACACAGTGATTACAACTGTTCCCCAGTAGGACGTGTCCCTAAAGTCTTTTCACTCTAGTCGCTTGAATTTTCTCAACTGCCTATCTGTACGTCATTGCCGAAATCGCGCCGTTTGTTACCCAACGTCACAAAAACAGACTCCCGGTCCAGTCCGAATCCTACATTCTGGATCAATCTAATCGCATCTGTGGTGTGAGATACATCGGACATACGAATAGGCGTCGGTCTAAACAAATGGCGCAGCGCTGTCGAATAGCGTTACAAACTGGTACTATCAATCGCAACAAGAACGCCTGGTCGAAACTGGACACCAAATTAGGACTGTTGCTGATTACAAAATATTTTATGTTGTACCAAAATGGTGCTCCTAGGGTCCCGGCTAAGGAAACAAATTCGACGGACGACTGAAGTCATTGTGATCAGGCTAACGCAACTTGAGCTGTACAACTAGAGGACACATGTGCAAGCCTTCCTTCTGCGCTGGGGTTAAACAAACTTCCACACAGCTTTCGCACAACATACATACTTGTGTGTATTGTAGTAGCTGCTGCCTGAAATTATCGGTTAAGATGTTTTAATTTTTACCTTCTGATTCCATTAATCTCCACTGCGCTTCACAAGCCTATTCTGTTCCATCATTCCATTTTGTAATTGCAAACGCTGTTAAGATTTATAGAAAGGAGCACTCTTCATGACCTATTTTTTCACCATTCCATGCGTATATTTTTCGTATTATTATTTTATTATGCACTCCGGACTTCCACATTATCGTCTGGTTTTCGACCCAATTTAACTACCATCATTATCCACTTCAACCCCTCCTCAAACCATTTGTGCTAACTGCACACTGTTTTGTTCAACTTTTTAGAAAACACTCTTTTTGGACAAGGAACCTGTGTTGCGTGTTCTGAACATACGATTTCCCACCGTTTCACACTGCCACGCACCGTCGGAAAAGGCTTTGAGCCCATGCACTAAAGTAACTAAAACGGATACCAAACAGAGCTCAAGCGAAATATCCTCCTCTGTCTACGATTCTCGATGTGGTACTCAGCTCACGGAATTGGAGGGGGTTCCCTCCTCTTCATATCAATCGATTTTCCGTAAGAAATATTCTTCACTTTCTCATTGGCGGTCGGCTTCGAATTTGCGAGGTGTGAACGAATCAGCTACCTCTGCGGAGCCTCATGCACCGTCTCGTTGGCGCTCTTCGGCTGCCATTTTTGCCACAGCCTCCACAAACCGCAAAGTGATTGATATGCTGGATCCCTCCGTTCGTACGGAACAGCTTGATGGCGAAACCTTGGAAAACTGCGGCAGCTGTCCTGATTTTAGCCAAGGTCGTTGTATGGAGCATTTCACGCGGCACCGTACTAGATCCGCTGGGCGCAGCCCTTCGCCCAACATCTCCGACTTTGTCGATTGCTTTATCAACCGGTCGCCTGGCAAACACAGTCAGCCACGTACGCATCACAACCGATTCCGTCATTCACGTTCCTTGGGTTCACTGGTCTCCTGTCCTAACTCAGGCGACGGGACTCACAACCGTACCTCTCTGCCATCCGTTTGGTACGGACCGCCACAACGCTCTTCGATCGACTCAGTCGCAAAATCAGCGTTGTCTGAGCCATTCGTATTCCTTCCTCTGGATGATTTAGATCAACCTTCCATGGACCGGGCTGTCGAAGTCGGTTTGTACACTTTTCGAATCGCGACGAGTTCGACAACTACGCAGTTTACCGGCACGGAAGTTTACGAGTTTGCCGTCCCTAAGCATGATATACGCACGCTAACTTCAAGCGATTCCTTCGTCAATTCCGGACAATCGCTACCTGATAACCCCCTATCTGAGCTGCAGCTTGCCACCCGTTGGATAGACATTCTTCAGCAGCATGTGCTGGAGCAAAGTACGTCTATTCTATTTGCGCTCTGTGACTATTTCCACATCGGGGTGCATTGTTGTTGCGACTCCCAGGGATGTGTATGGGCCGACTCCGAATCCATCTTGGCTCCCATCCACATGCTTCCCTGTCTTATCCCTCGGGGTTTACCCTAGATGTGTGGTGTGTTGATGCAGCTGTGGGTGATACAGTGCGTTCACCCATGTTCCTACTGCGCGCGCGGGCGCCCAATGACTGTTCTCAGTCTCAGGCAAATCTGGAAGCGGAGACCGTCATTTGTCTATTAAACAGCTCGTAGCCTAGTGACTATGTATGTACAATCCAACCTGCTATGGAGACCACCTATCTATGGCGAGAAGCCATAATCATCCCCCATGGTTTCTCCTATGATTGATGTCCCCATGCCTGAACCTGTCCATGGCGACCACCAGTCCAAGGCGATCACTTTTGGTCTATTCCTTGAGTGGTCTCTATAGACAGGTTTAATTGGGCAACCGGGAATATCTCTGCCCCCACAATGCATTAACCTAAATCTTCTTAACTCTTCCACTGACTATCTGTTTCCCAATTTTTTATGATTGTTAACTCTGTTGTGGCAATGCTAATTGTATATTGGTCAAGGGTTGAATAATAACAATTGATCAGCATACGTAAACCTTAAGGCTGTTGGCAGATCTTTGGGCCTTGTAAATAGCCTCTGACGGTATATCGGCCGTCCCTGGCAAGCCATTACAGTTGACGTACTTGAGACGTATCATGGACTATCTGACCGATGTTACAGTGATTGAAAATATGCCTACCTCTCGAACTACAAATGTCTGCTACTCGTATCGATTCAGTGCCTTTTATCCACCACTGAGTCGAAGTACTCCAGTCGCTAATATGTCGTTGAAGATAGCATAGGATTTAATGGTGTGATTATATGGAGAATTTAACAAGATTAATGCTTTTTTCATTTCGAAATTGCTATCTGCACTTAACTTACTTGTTACTTTGTCATCTTCCAGAGACCTGGGGTGCAGACGCTTTCTCCGATAAAATAGTCATTCCTCGCTCGACATCGACTGTCCACAATGCTGTCGCACGACGCTCCATAGCATTTCCTACCGAGCAACCGGTGTCCTCTTTGAACAAGCTTTTCACCTCTCCTCCCCTTCCAACCTGCGTGGAAATCAACTGACATACTGTATAGTCACAATTTGGCACGGGATGTTGCTACAGGCAGGCAGTGAACCGAATCAATCATTCGATGCGGCATTCCCCTTTGTCAGTAGCGTTTGTATTGCCTACCACCAAACCTCCGTTCTTTCCGATCGTATTGTTTCCGATGACCATCGTATCGCCACTATTTTCTTACTTGCTTGACTTGTTTTTCTCTTCCCTTCGCTACTGAAGTAATATATGTGCTGGCTTTCTTACTTTGCCACAGCATCTCCGTTCATCTACTCACACAATTTGCTTCACACTTGTGAATGCACTGGGCTGTTTTTGTTGACCAGACATTTTCTTACGGGTTATCAAGGAGCACACGAACCCCGTTAGACTATATTTACCAATAGCATGTAAAATTTAGAGGCACCCCACCTCAATACCCCACAGTCATTCGAACTAATCTGTAATTGAACTTGGATGTGAAGTTCGCACTCTCGATCACCCTCAATAGTTGCACTACCTTCAGTCTAGGCTGTCTGCCACACATGCATTCAGCGCCGGTGGGACAGCACCAGCCTGTTCGGATCCATCTAAGCCCATTGAGAGATTATGGTGTTCTAATCCGAGCCCAGGCGTTATCTGACCCCCCCCCCGCCTCACTGAACCACACTGGTTTACACAGCATCTCTTCCCATTTCACTTAGGAATTACATGGACTGCTGTATTTACTAGAGGGCAATAAGAAAAGACTAGTGATGTACAATGCAAACTTGAAAGGATCGTTGTGTTGGTGGAGTGTTTTTAGCCACCTTTATCGCTGCCTTTCGACTCTCACAGGTATGGTGTTGTTTGTTGCTCAGTTTCATCACTTCAGTAAGCAGAGAGTGAGGCAATGGAGAGATTGTGATATTGTTTACTGCTGTAGAATGCAATGTCGTCTGGAAGATGCAAATGTTGGAGATTCAGTTGTAAAATTGTGCAGCCGGTGCCAATGCTGTCGCTTGCTTTACTTGGGGGTTGTGTACTTTTGAATACATTCTTTCTGCGCGGCGGTGCCGCGCGTGCGCGAAACCAACACCGTGTTACCCGCGCACCATAGTGTTCTCCTCAGTGTGTTTACCAAGCATTTGGCTTTATTTCCACTAGTCCAGTCCATTCATCGGCGACCGGTCTTCCAGTGGCACAAATCTGGTGCAGTCGCTGTACGAAGCCAACGGAAGACTGGTGATGAAGCTGGGATATATGCAGTTGGGTATGCAATTCCCATACCAACTTTCTTTGGATGGCCATTGCTGTTTGGTCTGATTCTTTTGCGTCGCGGGCACGACCATCTGCTTTTTCCATTTGGTGCTGTGGCGTCGTTAGGAACGAAAAGAAACAGATGGCCTCGTGATTAAACGCATGAAGTTAACTTATTTGTCGTAATTCTGCGAGTACTCGTGTTTGAAATCGGACATGCTAAATTATTCATGTTTGCTAGCCTTACTCTGATGACATTTCTGGAACTCGTCATATACTGCACTGTCATTGTGTGCTATATGACAGTTCTGTTTATTCTTTGCTTCTTCGAGTGCTGTATGTCTAATTGATGGATCTTGTACGTGGCGATTAGATGCTTTATCGTTGCTGTCAAAACTAGACCTAGCCAAAATACAACTGCGATCTTACCCTGGGTAGATAGCAAATATCTTCAGCATTTGCTGTACGTCTCTCTTACTACAGTTCTACTAGTCATATGTAGACAGGACTAATACTACTTGGTCGCGACGGAATCAACCGTCTGCTGAACACTATGTCGAACGTCAACTCATTTGGAGATGGGCGAAACTATGTCTGAGAAGTTGAATAATTACAATGCACATCTGATACTTAAACCAAAGGTAACCCCAAAATTTTGGAAAGAGCACACTATCCGTTAAACACCGCAGGACAATGTTGAAGAAGAACTACTTCGGTTCCAGGAAGAAGGTTCAGACTAAACAGCACTCATTGTGCTAGTATTAAAGAGTGACGGCCTGTGAACATCTGTGGAGACTATCAAGTTACAGTCAATCAGGCACTATGGCCTGACCGATTTCCGTTGTCAAGGATCAAAGATATTTACGCATCACTTTTTTACCAATTCATACCGAATCCATGTGTACCAACAGGTTAAATTCAATGTAGTATCGCAGACCTACACTACCATAAGCATCAATATTGGGTTATTCCACTTCACACTTCTACCGTTCGGAATAAGCTCTGCGCTCGGCATATTACAACATTGATTCGCTGGTGTAACACACCCGATGCCTGTGTCTATCTGCATGACATCCTGCTTACAGGGCGAACATCTGCTCACTCTGGAGGTAGTTCTCAATAATCAGGCAAACTCTAGGCTGATACTGAAAAAACGAGGGTATGAATTTCCTCCTCAATTGGGCCTGAACTGTCACGTGACCGGCTGTGTGCGTTAGAAGCGCAAACCAGCGTGCTGCTTAAAGCCCCAGCTCCCGTAATTGTGAGCGAACTGCGATCCTTCATGTGAGCAGGCAAATGGTATTGTCTATACCCGAGGTTTACTCTACTCCCTAGAGTTTATGGCTTCCCAAATATGTATAAACTCAACGTTCCCATGCAGCCCACGAGCTCCTTAGACATTTAACTGGGCTATTGGTACCTCTGACAGGTCGAACAAGTACATTATCGACGAACTCTTACGAGTATGCTTCGACTTGACCTCTCACCAATGTGCCCAAAGTAGAGGCGCTAGGAATAGCAACATGTCCAACTGTCTACGACACTATGGGTGGTCGAACGAAAAGTACAGCTGACCAAGTAGTCAAGGGATAACAGTGTGTTTCAGCATGTAATTCGTTTTTCAGTCGAAGCTGCACATTCGGAAACAAGGTCTTGTTATGGAATTGCCATATCCCCTGTACTGGCGAATTTGTACTAGGAAAACTTCGAGAACACCGAAAGGTTGGTGGCGCTACTCAGACGGCACTTTAAAATTAAACGGTTTAACGGCTTAAACTCCATTAATGAGAGGATACGCCTTACTATTGTCTTGGGGTCTTGGAGCGGTACAATGCCATTTGTTGAGTGCCTAGTCCACAGAAATGGGGGAAATTAAAGGAAACCATATATCGCAAACCGACTGAGACTCACGGGGTATTCCACTACATTTCGAGTTATCCGAAACACGTTTACGCTCGTATAGCCTCTGCTGTTCTATGGGACAAATACGCTGGAGGAGAACAGAATGGCTACACGGAAAGGCAATGCGCAAACTATCAGGTAGTGATTACCCACGACGGTTAGTCGAACGTCAGTTACATAAAGTACTAAACCAACAGTACCCACATTGGAGTGAATATGGATATATGGGATTCCATACAAGGACGGAAACTGAAAATTCGGTGGGCAATGAGCAGGGAGAATGTCAATCTAATATTTCAGCAGTGCCAAACATTACGCTCAATGCCGATGCATTTGAAGGACCTCCTTCCCCAGAATCGAACAACCAACCATTCATTCATCCATTATACACGTTAACTAGAGGTGGGAAACATAGCTACGGTGCCGCAATACGTAAAAGAAAAAAGGGAAGATGCAACGGGTGTAAGCCAGCTGGGCTACCGGTAACGGATGGGCATCGTTCCGGTAAGCTACCAGCCGGCCACTATGCAGCAAAAAAATTTACCATGCAAAATTATAAAATGCTAAACAATGTGATTGTGGTTGGAGGGGGAGGCTAAGACGGATGGGGTGGGACAAAGAAACTCACAGCACGAACGCCACGGAGGTCGGCTCCTAGCCATATTAACAAGTGTATCCAGCCAAACGTGTTCACCGTCTTTCGGACATCAACCACGGAGCAGAGCCACTCCAACCGAGGCCAGCTTCGAAGTGAGGGCCTTCATTCCTCTCGACCAAGTCATCGCTTGGCCACCCCTTCTCTTCTTCCATCTACACCCAGGGCGCGCAAACAACGCACGTCGCGGGAGTCGGTGGACTGGTATGCGTAACATGTGGCGGAACCATCGGAGCCTGGTGCTTGAAATAACGGTGTTGAGCGGTTCATTTCCTTTTTCTATGCCGTAAACAAGGCGTCGAACATGCTCGTTACTTTCTCGGTGTTCCTACCAGATGTGAGCTAAATTGCGAACGCACCGATGATCGAACGTAACTGTCCTCTTTATGTCGGCTGATCTAAGGGGCCAGGTTTCACAACCGTACAGCATGGTCAAACGTACCGCTGCATTGTACACTCTACCCTTCAGGGCGAGAGTGATGTCGCCGGGGCCATAAGTGGCGAAGGTTAGCAAAAACACCTCGAGCTTTTGATATACGGTTCGTGATCTCATCTTCAATCCCACGGGCGCTGGTATAACTTCTCAGGTAGTTGAATTTTTGAATAATTTGTACCCGGTCCCCACCAACGGTCAGCGTAGGAGGCGGTCCAGCCCAATCTTGGAGGAACGCTTTGCACTTTGAGGGTGCGAAGCAAAGCCCGAAGTGACGGACAGCCAGTGCTAATCTGTCCAGTGCTGCTTGGCGCATTTGTGGGCTGTCACAGATTAGGGCAATATCGTCAGCATACTCCAAGTCAAGAAGTCGTTCTCCTTCTAATTCGTGTCCTGTAAACGCGATATCCATGACTTCGTCAACAGCGAAGTTGAAGAGGAAAGGTGACAGCGGGCATCCTTGTCCCACACCGCTGGAGATATTAATGGGCGACGACAGTTTGCCGTAAGCCTTCACTCTGCCTGAGCTACGTGCGTATAATGCCCAGATAATATTTACATATTTCTCGTGCACACGTTTCCTGAGTAGACAGTCCCAAAGAGCATATCGACCAACCGAATCGAATGCACCTTTGTTGTCGAGGAACAAGACGAGGGTGGGCCACCAGTATATGTGACGGTGCTCCAACAACTGATGCAAACTGAAGATGTGGTCAATGCAGCCACGACCTCGACGAAACTCGGCTTGCTCTTCACGAATCTGGCTTTCACGAGTGCCAACCAATCTGTGAAGGACGACAGAGGGAGGCAGTTTGCTGGCGTTGGAGATCAGACTGATTCCTCTTTGGTTACCGCATTGCGATCGTGAGCTCCCCTTGAAATTTGGGACTATGACTGAGCAGCTCCATTCGGTTGGGACAGTTTCCTGCTCCCACAGTTTTAGTAGCAACTCGTATAAATCATCCACAAGAGCAGGTCCCTGGAATTTGAAGGGGGCTGAAGGAAGATCATCTGCTCCCACGGCTTTGTTCAACTTCAACAGTGTGATCTCACGTTCGACTTCTGAGCGAGAGGGTGGATCCAAGGTGACAGCCCACATGCGAGGCGATCAGTGGCCGGCGAGAAATCTAACAATTCCGGCCGCTTAAATTGCCTTTCAAAGTGCTCAGCCCAACGCTCCAAGCGTTTTGACAAGTTGTGAATAGGCTGAATACTCGTCACTTATAGTTTCACTAACACCAAGTCTCCTGCTGCCAGTTTCCCATATCAGCCGGAATAACAATGAGTTTATACGGGTTAAGAAGCGTTGCTTTACAAGTCCCGTTGGATAGTTGGTGGGGATATCAACATAACAATAATGATAATAAGGATAGTAAAATAGTTAATACTTTAAATATGATAATAAGGACTTATCGTTTGCTTTGTTGTAGTCCTGCGATTCTCTTAGATTCACAGTTAACAACAAATAATTCCATGGTAAACTCCAGGTGTAGGATGGAGACGTAGTGTTAAGTAACAAAGTGTAAGTGGATGAGTGCATCGTCCAACCGTCTTTTAAATACTGTCAGTGTTAGTGCAGAGACGACCGATTCTGGGAGAGCATTCCACGGGTGGCAGACACGAATGGAAAAGAAATTTCTGCGGCACTTCAGACGACTGTATTGTTCTGCGAGTTTTAATGAGTGGCCCCTCAGGTTTGTATTGCTGCTGAGTTGAAGTAAAGGGCGGCACACATGATGTGGGTCTCGCAGGATCAAGTATTTCATAATCAGGTCGCCTCGTAGCCTGCGATAGCTTCCACTGAACAATCCTAGTCGTCGCAGCCTCTCCTGGTAGGAAAGATTGCGCATTCCAATTACGTTCTTAGATGCCCAGCGTTGTGGCTGCTCCAGTGCATTAAGGTCATGTTTCAGCCATGGATGCCAGGCTTGAATTGCATATTCGACATGGGGGCGAACATACGCATTGAGCATTTGTCGAAATATGGAGCTGTTTATTTGTCCAAACGCCCGCCTCAACAGCCTGACGTGTTGGTTCCCGGTCTTCGAGGCCTTTTCGGATTGCCTGGAGCAACCCAAGTCATCTTGAACTATGCTTACCAAGGGCAGCGGCCATTTTCCT